CATTACTTATAGAATTAAGCGGGTATTAAATACACTCATTGATGATAGTCAAACAGGCTTCATTAAAGGGCGATACATAGGTGAAAATATAAGATTGCTTTATGATGTGATAGAGTATGCAGAAAAGAATGAAAAAAACGGGACTTCTATTTTTTGCTGATTTTGAAAAGCATTCGTTAGCAAAAGCTAACGTATTTAAAACATTAGATCTTTTTATTTTTGGACCAATTTAAAAGCATGGATGGAACTTATTTACAAAAGACCCACGAGTTGCATACTTTACAATGGTGTTTGGTCTGAGTCATTCCCTATATAGAGGATATTGAATGAGTGTAAGTTCAATACTGAATTAATTGCACTAGTTGAATAAAATTATATTATGCGAGCCTCTGTTGAAATTTTACACGATAGAAAAAGTCATACATAGTTTTATTACCTTCACCTTTTAGTAGCAGGTTTAAAAATTCATTAACTCTATGATCAAAATATCTAGAAGTGACAGGATCTTTGTGTATCTTTTTTTAATTCCTTGCTCCCATGTAAGTCAATCTATTTGTTAATTTGTCAAATCATTTTCATTCAAAGAAGCAGAGACATAGATAACAGAGATAGGCAACTTCCTATCATGTCTGCCTGCTAAACCAAGTAAAACAGATATCAAAATCAGTAAATAAAACATTTTCTGAAAGCTTATGCATTTGTCTATGGCTGCAGGTAAAAATATTAACAGTTAACATTAAAATAAATGATACATCAATTTCTTAAGAGAACTTCTGAATAATTTTTGTGGGTATGTTCTGCTAAGTGAAAGGCATGGAAAGTTACCAATATTTTTACATGCAGCAATAGATAAAAGATTTAACTTTCAAATAGTATATAATATTAAAGGATCAAATGTCCATCCAAAGGCGTTTTATTTTCTACAACATGTCTAATTTTTCACTTTTTGATAGGCATGAGTGATATTTCAATGGAGTATATAGGAGCTGCCATTACATCTGTAGGCATCAAGTGCGGGTCTTGGACTTTAACAACTGAATACGTTTGTTAGGATTTCTTATATTGTTACTGTTATCTCTGTTATCTATGTCTCTGAAAAGAAGCAAAGTTTTTTTCACTAAAACTTTCCATCTTGTATCAACTGTTTGATTTTACATTATTTTGCATTATTTGTATAAAATTGCTTATGTGATACTTTTTCCGACAACTTTACTTTCGGAAAACGATGAAAAATGTTCGCATCAAGAACACAAATGTTTCATGGGTTTTCATTAGTTTCAGGTTATAATAAACAAAAGCTATTGCAAAATGTTTTGATCACATAGATGAAACAACAAAACATCTGTGATGTTTGTGATATTTCTTATTTAAATAAAATCAATTTTAGTAAGAAATCTGATTTCGGCTTGTCAATTTTGTCAGCTCAGTTCTTACAGAACACATTTCCTTCATAAACAACTTGTTGAAAGTAACAGGTTAACAATATAACAGTAACAATATAAGAAAAAAAGGCCGGGAAATATATACTTTAATTGTATATTGGGTTACTGCCGAATATCCTGAAATTAGGATGACATTCCTGAAATTCATTTAAGACCAACCTACATACGTACCAGACTGGTGTTGAAATTAGCTTTGAAAATGATTTACCAGAAATACGCAATTAGGTTTGGATGTCGTTCATAATCAAACTTAAACCAGAAGTTTTGTGATGACAATTGAACTTGTTCCACTCTCTGGAATATAGATATGTCAGATTAACGCAATGTTACATTTTAGTATTTGATACATTATATTCTGAGTCCGTTTGTTTTGATATTCAGAGTCTGTTTGTTTTACCGCAGAGGTTCAATTAGCTAGCTGGATTGTAAAAGAACCCAGTGTCTTCTTTGATAGGAAGCTGTGATTTAAAGGCTATTTTAAGGCTGAACCATCTTAAAATGAAAATTTTTCATGTGACAAATTAATATCAGGCTAATAATTCCATCTAATTACAAATTATCTTTTCAGCACATTTAAACCGTTACATCAGAAATTTTCACAAGTGTTTAAATTTAGCTATTTTCATAAAATGATTTTTTTTTGTAAAAAAAACATTTTTGCAGAAAACCCATCTTATCATATATATGAGGTTGAATTGACCTGTGAATTGACAAAATGAAAATGGCAAAAATAATGGTTTATACAAAATGCAAAAATAAACGAACAAGAAAACCAGCTAACGTGAACCAAAAAGACCAAAATTGCATAGAAAAATATCAATAATATTTCCTCAAAGATATTCCTAAAAATGTTTATGAGACAATTTGCAAAAAATTAAGTATTTTTTAAATAAAACATCTTTTGATTAGTTATTTTACAAATTTAGTTGTATATTTTCAATTTCATTTATACTATGTGAATAAAGAAAATAGATTGACATTGCTATTGTAATTCAGAATCATTTTCTTATTACACATACCATGGGCAGTAGTTAAAGACCACGCATATACAAAATATACATTAAATTCTATTTGTTTTTGAAGATTATCACATGTAACCTGGAAGTGAAAGTTTGAAAATAAAGTTTTATCAATTGTTCGCTTTCTCTTTTATTTTGAAATTGAATTTATTATGTTACCGTAATAATAATTTCAAACTGCTTTTTATATAAAAATGTAAATTTACCGCGGATTTCGTCAAGTTAATTTTTTAATAGTCGTTGCGGACAGATAGTCTGTGTCTTTATAAAATAAATTAGATATTAAACTAACAAGTAAATTTCTTCAAAATAAACTTTAAATTTCCAGATCGGATATTAAATGGAAAAGCTATATTTTGTGAATAAGGTATCCTTTGCGAACGGGCATTTACGCTTAGCGCTCGATGTACCTTTATCGGGTGCGCGAAAAGATATTTAAGCATTTATATAGGGTTAACTGGGAGTGTCCGATCCTTGTTATATAAATCCGTGATACAACGAAAGTTATGACATAACAGCAAATCTCAATGATCGAACAAACGGCTAAAATCATTGAAATATGTATCACAATGTAACTGCCATAGCGGAAATGTACGTGAAACTAGAAATCTCAGAACGTAAAGGAGCGTTGTTTATCGTATGCAGTTGAACAGCCATAGCGTAATATTTCGATTTTCATTAACACATTAAATCAAAGCGCTGAAAGCACTGCTGGGGGCGCATTATGTTGATTGTATAGTGGTCTATTGTTACAAGCAGATGCCATTCCTACTTTCAAAGCAGATGTCACATTTTTACTCGATTATTCGATAAGAATAAGTAGAATTATCCTAGTCATCTGAACATTGGCGTCTATCACCTCAATTTTCCCGAAGTCCATTGACATATGACATTGATCCCGATCAGGCACCCATTTGTTAAAGTTACATTAAATAAATATGTAAAAATATTTTGCCGTCGGCCTAAAAATCAAACATTCTACAGTTTCATTAACCTGTTTAATAGTATTGTTGTAAATCTCATCAAATATTGTTCATAAATAAGGATTTTAAACGGGAAACCCCACGGTACCACTAAAGTTCGTATACGAATTTTAACATGCAAATGAAGACTATAATGAGCTCGTGTATGCGCTACGTCACAGTTTTTTAGTTGCTATCCGAACACAGCAAATGTGATATTTTCTTGTGCAAACACACTTTAACCGTTTAAGCTTCACGGTGCACTAAACCTGGGGTTCAGTAAAAGTAATAATCTCGTAAAAAGATTAAATTTGTATGAAAACATCCGTTAAAATGCGGAAATATACCGTTAAATTAGGACTGCTACTTATAGTCATGATTGTTGATTTAATATTGATATGATGATCCGAAGGCGGAGTTTCTCATGCAAACAGAAATTGTATTTCCCATTTCGCCACAATGAGGTTACCTATTTTTATGCTAATAAAACTCATTTTGGTTGTTTGGACACCAAAATAAGACGTGGAGTCGATATAAAACCCAATTTATTAATGAAATGTCGCTATTTAGTTTTTTATGAAATTTATTTAATGTAACTTTAAAGATTGCCTATGGCTTCAAGATATTTTCGTATTCCATAAACATCTGGCTTTGAAATAAATTGAAATTTTATACATTTCTTTGCGAGCATACTAGCTAGGACTCTCTCCAATGCTTATATCTGTAGAATATTGGGTTTAAAGAAATTTTTGGTTCTTTTGTGAACTTAAAATATTTTAAATAACCAAGGTTCTTCTATTGTCAAGCACTAAGCATATAGTTGAGTGTGCTGTCCTACCAACAGCTATTGTTTGCATACCTTGTGAAATATAACTCCTTCAAACTTTTGTTCAGTTATTATTATGCAAACACAAGAACTGTCTTAGGACAGTAAGGCTCGACTATTCGAAAAAGTTGTCACAAGGGTGTTTATCGAGTATAAAAATGCTTACCAATGAATATATAAAACTGACCGAAAAGGTACAAAGGCTTGGATTAAGATGTTTTATCAACTAAATCACTGCTTTATTATCATGAATGCATAAAATTGTCCCAAAAAAGGCACAAACCCTTCAGTAGCTATGGAGATAACATGCTTACAAGCAAAACTTTACCATTAAATTCTAAGTTGAAAAAGGGGAGAAAAATCAGCCTAAATGCTCGATAAAATTATGGATCTTGTCAGTAACCTACATGTACAATTATGACCTTAAATGCATGTGAAGTTTTAATATTGTAGGCAGAGTTATCCAACTTGTCAATCTGATGTACATTGTTACGATAAATAACTATTGTAAGTTTCAATTGAATATCTCAAGCAATAATTGAGATATTCGACTTTAAAATAAAGTTAAACCAACGCAGACGCGGACGCTGGGTTACTACAATAGCTTTCATATTTTTCAAATAGTCGAGCTAAAAACTACCAAGTCATGGTGACACCATATAGTTATTCCATATATAAATATATATGTATATATCATGGAAAACATTTCAAGATGTTACAATGGATTGTAGTGTATAACAAGAAAATCAGCGTACTTTAACTTTAATCCAATAATCATACAAACATCTGTAAATAACTGGAACAAAATATTTCTTAAATAAAACCATACAAAACAAGAGGGCCATGATAGCCCTAGATCGCTCACCTGACTTATCAAACTCATCCAAACAATTACCTAGACAAGCATTCTGACCAAGTCTCATGACAGGTGAGTCAAAAATATGACCACTACAGTGTTAACAAGGATTATCCATATTTGAGCAGTGCGACCTAGTTTTTTACCCAGGTGACACATATTCAAACTTGACCTAGAAATCATCAAAACAAACTGTCAGACCAATTTCCAGGATACTTGGATAAAAACAGTAGCAACTAGAGTGTTAACAAGATTTTTCTATTTTTAGCTCCGGTGACCTAGTTTCACACGCGATTTCGAACTCATCCAAGCAATTACCTAGACAAGCATCCTGACCAAGTTTGATGTTAATTGAGTCGAAAATGTGACCACTAGAATGTTAACAAGGCTTTTCCATATTTGGGCGGTGTGACCTAGTTTTTCATCCAAGATGACCCATGTTGAATCTTGACTTAGAAATCATCAAAACAAACTTTTAAACCAATTAACAGAATATTTGGATCACAACAGTAGCCACTAGAGTGTTAACAAGATTTTTCTATTTTTATCTCCTGTGACCTAGTTTTTCATCCGAGATGTCCCATGTTCGATTTATTCCCAGCAATGACCTAAGCAAGTTTCCTGACCAAGTTTGCTAACAATTGAGTCAAAATTGTGACCACTAGAGTGTTAACAAGGTTTTTCTATTTTTAGCTCCTGTGACCTAGTTTTTCATCCGAGATGACCCATGTCCGAGCTCATCCGAGCTATCACCTAGACAAGCATCTTAATCAAGTTTGATGATGATTGATGCAAAAATGTGACCACTAGAGTGTTAACAAGGTTTTTCTATTTCTACCCCAGGTGACCTACTTTTTCATCCGAGATGACCCATGTTCAAACTCATCCGAGCTATCAACTAGACAGACATCTTGACAAAAGTTTGATGATGACTGATGCAAAAATGTGACTGCTAGAGTGTTAACAAGGTTTTTTCTATTTTTAGCTCCGGTGACCTTCTTTTTCATCCGAGATGACCCATGTTTGTACTCATCCGAGCTAATCACATAGACAAGCATCCTGACCAAGTTTGATGATGATTGATGCAAAAATGTGACCGCTAGAGTGTTAACAATGTTTTTCTATTTTTTAGCTCCGGTGTCCTACTTTTTCATCTGAGATGACCCATGTTCGAACTCATCCAAGATATCAACTAGATAAGCATCCTGACCAAGTTTGATGATGATTGATGCAAAAATGTGACTGCTAGAGTGTTAACAAGGTTTTTCTATTTATAGCTCCGGTGACCTAGTTTTACATCCGAAATGACCCATGTTCGAACTCATCCGAGCTATCAACTAGATAAGCATCCTGACAAAGTGTGATGATGATTGGGTCAAAAATGTGACCACTAGAGTGTTCACAAGGTTTTTCTATTTTTAGCTCCTGTGACCTAGTTTTTCATCAGAGATGACCCATGTTCAAACTCATCCAAGCAATTGACTAGACAAGCATTCTGACCAAGTTTGATGATGATTGGTTTAAAAATGTGACCACAAGAGTGTTCACAAGGTGTTTCTATTTGTAGCTCCTGTGACCTACTTTTTCATCAGAGATGACCCATGTTTGAACTCATTCGAGCTATCACCTAGGCAAACATCCTGACCAAGTTTAATGATGATTGGGTCAAAAATGTGACCTCTACAGTGTTCACAAGGTTTTTCTTTTTTTAGCTCTTGTGACCTAGTCTTTCATCCGAGATGACTCATGTTCGAACTCATCCAAGCTATCAACTAGATAAGCATCCTGACCAAGTTTGATGATGATTGAGGCAAAAATGCGACCGCTAGAGTGTTCACAAGCAATTGTGGACGGACGACGGACATTCACCGATCCTAAAAGCTCACCCTGAGCAAGCTCAGGTGAGCTAAAAACCAAAAACTGATGATGACAGAACGGGTATCACTTTATGCCTATAAAAATTTTTTTGCTCAAGTGATTTTTTTTCGAAGAGCTACATATGAAATTGCTGCCAAATATACATAAGTAAAATCTATTTCAAAGCTGCATGCATTCATATAAATATATTTAAAAAAAATCAAACTTGATTAAATAAAAAAAAGTTCAAGGATAGCCCAAACTTGTTAATTATAAAATATATATATATACAGAGTATTATGTTGTAGTAGCTCTCTGAGGCTTTGTATTTTGCTATGAGCAGTGGTGGGAAATTGATATCTTGCGAGACCAAAGGGCGAGCTAGATAACAATTTTCCAACATTGCAAGTAGAAAAATGCATAGCCTCAGAAAGCTACTACAACATAATTTTCCTTTAATAATATACCTTTTCGTTTGAAGTATAAATGATTTTCATTATACTACACTTATATAAGAAATTTCAGAAAAAGAAATGTAGCTGTCAAGAAATAAATTATGACTGACAGATGAATACGTAATTTGTGCAAAACCAGCCACACCTTTTATTATTTTGGTTGCCATTTCCATATACTATGTTATACACAGCTAAGATCAGAACCAACATTAACAAGAACCGGTTGATGCTCCCCGAGAAGGTTCTGGACACTGGAAAGTATAAAAAAAATGAACAAAGGGCAAAACCCCCAAAATTAGGCAAAGCGGAGTTATGTTTTTTTTTTGCACTGCACTTCTATTCAATTAGATCTTTCTATCTATAAAGTTGCCTGATGATATCAGAGTTATGTCCAAGGTAAAATTCAAAGTGTAAAAATGAAATTAGGGTAATAACTCCAAAATTAGACCAGGCTTTCTTTAGGTTCTTTAAGCATTGCAGTTCTATCCAATTATATCTAGCTACCTACAAAGTTTCATGTTGATATCTCTAATAGTTTTAAAGTTATGTCTCGGACAAAAGTCAAAAAGTAAAAATAAACAAAGGGCAATTACTTCAAAATAAGGCAAGGCAGAGTAATGATTCTTAAGCACTGCTTAGAGTAATGTCCTGGACAGAGTTTAAAGTGTCAAAATGATCAAAGGGCAATAACTCCAAAAGTAGGCAAGACAGTGTTACAGTTCTTGTGCACTGCAAACTTACTCAACGATATCTATCTACCTACAAAGTTTCATGTTGATATCTCTTTTACATTGAGAGTTATGTCTCGGACAAAGTTCAAAGTGTAAAAATAAACAAAGGGGGATAATTCAAAAATTAGGCAAGGGAGAGTTAAGGTTCTTGTTCACTGCTTACCAACTCAATGAAATCTATCTACCTACAAAGTTTCATGTTGATACCTGTTATAGTTTTAGAGACAAAGTTCAAAGTGTAAAATAAAGAAAGGGGGATAATTCAAAAATTAGGCAAGGCAGAGTTACGGTTCTTGTGCACTGCATACCAAGTCAATGAGATCTATCTACCTACAAAGTTTCATGTTGATACCTCTTATAGTTTTAGAGTTATGTCCCGGACAAATTTCAAAGTGTAAAATAAACAAAGGGGGATTATTCAAAAATTAGGCAAGGCAGAGTTACGGTTCTTGTACACTGCACACCAACTCAATGAGATCTATCTACCTACAAAGTTTCATGTTGATACCTCTTATACTTTTAGAGTTATGTCCTGGACAAAGTTCAAAGTGTAAAATAAACAAAGGGGAATAATTCAAAAATTAAGCAAGGCAGAGTTACAGTCTTGTGCACTGCACACTTACTCAATTAGATCTATCTACCTACAAAGTTTCATGTTGATACCTCTTATAGTTTTAGAGTTATGTCCCGGACAAAGTTCAAAGTGTAAAAATAAACAAAGGGGAATAATTCAAAAATTAGGCAAGGCAGAGTTACGGTTCTTGTGCACTGCACACCTACTCAATGAGATCTATCTACCTACAGTCTTTCTGAAAGACCGTCGGCCCGCCCTGACCGGTAAAAATCAGAAGGTCCGATAAAAATATATGTTTTGACGGCCCGACGGTCCGGTAAAAATTAAGGATTTATAAAAACCTTACATTCAACATTTTGCAAAGGCCGATCATTTACCTACATTCAAAACAAATCAAAATGTTGTCATTACACAATATAAGCTCGTGCAATGCTTGTCAACTGTTATGCATTCTCATAATGCAAACTTTAATGTAACAACGTAAGATAAAAATATCCGACAACTAGTACAAGTAAAAGTCAATAAGCGGCCATGTAAATTACATAAGCGGCCCAGATGTAAAAGGTCAACCGCTATTAGTTTGTTTACACAGATGAAAGCGTCAGTGAATTAATTGGAACAATTTACGTCTTTAATCCACAGACTTAGAGAAATGTTAAATTACATGTGTGCTCAACTGGTGTTTAGCTATGAAAGATCGTCCAAGATGTTGACAAAAATTAAACTATACTGTGAAGGTACCAAAATCATTGAACAATTAATCTGTCAACTTCACTAAATTACCGATATATATAATTCTGTTTACATATGCCAGACTTTTGCTGAAATTTACCCTCTCATTTTGCTGTATGAAATTAAAGTTTAAATAGCAAAATCCATTGAATACATGTATAACAATATTTATGTTTACATTTTGATTGTGGTGAAAAAAGATAACTTCACTTCGTTGATAATACAATTTTCTTTTTGTACACAAATTTTTTGACTGCTGACACTCAAATGACTCAAAATGCTATACCAATCAGGTTTTTTTCGGTCCAGTAAAATCATGTTTGGTCCAGTAAAAATTTTCAGTTTACAGGACCTACTGTCCAGTAAAACTCAGAAGTCTTTCGCATAGACTGTACCTACAAAGTTTCATGTTGATACCTCTTGTTGTTTCAAAGTTAAGTCCCGGACAAGAAAAGGGGATGGACGGACGGACAAGGCGGCGACTATATGCTCACCCGAAATTTTTCGGGGAGCATAAAAATAGTCCAGGCCTTTCATATATGGTACTGTTTTGTCTCTAACATAATACAGAATTTTCTAACCGTTGAAAACTATTTGCGCTTCAAGATAATCCTGTGTTTTAGGAAGAAAATTTATTGGTATATAATAAATGCTGTCATTGACATTTCTTATGCTTATATTTATTATATGTATTTCTTGCAATCCTATTTATAGCTACAAATTCTATGAATTAAAATAGAAAATGAAGGTAGCATGCAGACGGTGTTGATATTGTGTGATAAAAATTTAAAGATCATTGGAAATCATCCCAGTAACCGAATACTCTAAATGACCGAGTACTCGAGTATTGATTTTAGTAATTGTTGCCATCCCTAAAAAAATAAAGTACTTGACAAGATCAACTAACATCTAAATAAAAAACTTTGAAAACAGAATTAATTATTTTGAAAAATTCACTCTGAGCTGTATTATTTAAAATGGGTGTTCAAACACATTGAAAACATTGATAATTCATTTCATGTTCTTGGTGATGAAGTGGTGCCTCAATATAGTTATCACTGCAATCTATCTTCCCTCATAACTCCTACTATTACTGTATCTGTCAAACAAGCATCTCTGTTTTCTGAAATAGAGTTTGAAAAAGTTTATTGCTGACCGAGATATTCCATACTTGTATGTTAACTTTTTTTCAGCATCTTTCTGTTAGAATTACTCTGATTTATAAAGGTATAAAACCAAAAAATGCGCGACCAATGCCAGAGCTCAACCCCTCTGATCAGATTTCACAAACGAGCATCTGAGTAGAACCACCGCCTTTTTTAAAAGCTAGCTGGATTGCTTTCTCACATTAAAGAATCCATATTAAATATAATAGAACATTGATAATTGCTACACAGTCTCTTTGTAAACATAAAATAAGCATGTTTTGTGTTTACATAAAGTAGCTATGTAATGTTAAAACACCACATGCTATAGTTGGTCACAATATAAAATATATAGTGTTGTTAGGAAACTGACAGTTTTTTTTAAGAAGGACCAATTTTTTTTTTGTCTCGTAAGAAGGAACATGGCTTCCAATGCATAGTTAATTCATTCAAATTAGACATATTCAAAAAGAATTGCATAGAATTCAATACATTTTCATGATTAAAATATTTTACTGATGAGCATAGTATATCTTTAAAGGTAAGTGGTTTAGGTGCATTTCTTTGACTATGGTCACCCCAATTAAATCTATTTATTTGCTTAGTAACACAACTTTTTAAAGTCATATAAATTTGTAAATGTGAGTGATTCTGATAATCTATATACAGCTAAGTCAAGATGAGATGATTAGGTTTTACTGACTGCTTACTACATGAAGTCACTATTTCAATGTCAAATGCCTTGAGGTGAAAGGAATGAAAACTTGAATTTCAAAATACAATTTAAGTTAATTACATGTCACAAATGAGCCGTGCCATGACAAAACCAACATAATGGGTTTGCGACCAGGTTAGTCTGATCAGGATCCATGCTGTTCGCTTACAAACCTTATTACAAGTAGAGAAACTGATAGCGAACAGTATGGATCCTGATCAGACTGGGCGGATGCCCATTATGTTGGTTTTGTCATGACACGGCTAAAACGTTTTTGCTATCGACTTTTGTTCCTAAATTAACAACAGAATGCATAATGAAAAGATATTGAAATAATTAATATACAATTGGCTCTTAGTGCCAAGCTTACTGATTTTAAATAAGCCTTGAGCCCTGTGTTGGCCTTTAAACATGTCAAACATTTAGAAAGTATTTATTAAGGAAAAGTGTGTACAAATAATCATGTACCTCTTCATTATATGCCCATGACATTGAAAAAACATTGTGTCATCTGTTTACTTCAAGGTTAGTCACATTGACAGTATCACATTTTAGACTTTATCTCTCTTGATTCCATTCATAAAAAGCATTCTCAAAATGGGTCCTCTTAATTTCACATTCATCAATCTGACAAAAACCTCCTGGAAAAGAAGTTAGAAACATATGCCACTAATTATGTCAGTTAATGTCAAATAAATACTTTGAGAAACTATTTGGTCAAAATTGTAAATGTACAAAGATTTTCAAACCAAATATATATATAACAATGAACATTTCCTTTTTAACTTTCTAACATATATAATGTATGGTCTTACTTACTTGAAGAAAATGTTTGCCCGTGTGACCGAAAAGGGATTAAGGACCATTACTATTGTTTTTCCTTTTGTTTATTAAAGGGCCATGGCCCCATATTCTATTGTTATGGAATGAATTCTATTGTTCTCTTTTGTTATGCTACAGTAAGATGGATATATATATCAAAGTCAGAAAAAAGCTAACATGTTTTTACCTTAATGGCCTGTATAATTATGTTTCACAGCTTCTCAGCAAACAACCAACTGAGCCACAATTGAAATCTAACAAACAAGCCTTTATTCACAAACCTGAAATAAAAACTTTTCCTAATCAATACAATAGTTCTTTTAATTTATTACATACTTCATTGAAACATTAAGAAATATTGATAAAGTAAAATGCTCATTTTCATTTCCTGTATTTTCAATGTAATTATTCATTTTTCATTGCGTATTTTCACAAGTGTCTCCTAAATTTAGCCTATACATCAAAAAAAAACTTGAATAGAAAATAGAACAGTTTCCACCTGTAGTTTGGAACCCACTAACTGAATTCACTTTTATATCAATATTATGCAGTCTTAAACTTATTTCACTAGTAAGTCAAATGATTTATTATCTCAAACAATGTAATTACATGTAGTATAAGTTTTATGGAAATAATGTGGTTAATCACTTGCAGTTAATCAAGGCTTGACAAATCCACTTGTCCGCTCATAAATGATAAATACGAGTAAAAATGACTCTGGACAAGTTAATCTCCCAAAAATGCCCGTCCTGCAGGACATGTGAAATTTCTAGCATAAATTAATCAAATTTCAATTCAATTCTTTTGAAACCATTTTTCAAGTTTTACTAGTAAGACAGAGCACAAAATAATTCCCGTGTGTTTGATGGGCAAAACTGATGTTGATTTGTTGAATGCAACGCTTAATTCTGTCCGATTCTATTTTGTAAAAACTTACTAAAAGCCCGTGCGGCGATTCCAGTATGTTCCACAAATTTTTTTTAAAATGTCACAATGCAATATTCGGCAAATGTTTAGCCAGAAAGAAGTTAGTTAAACAGTGTCTTCAAAAAAGAAAAATTGTCTTCAAAAAAGAAAAATGAGTCAGAACATGTAGGAAATATATATTTTTTAAGCATTGTTGTTGTTGTTGTTTTTCGTTTTTCAATCCCTGATATATTATTTTGTAGTATTTGTAACTATTATCTATTCTATTTGTAATAGAACAGCATTTTTCCCTTATAAAACTATTTACGTTCCCAATAAAAAAAGACAGCAAATTTTCAAATGTTTTATTTTTAAAGTCCCAAAATTACTGTCAAAATTCCCATCCAAAATTGGCATATATAAAATGGATGATTTCATATTGATAAGTGATATGTGATAAAAACCAAGTACAACTACATCTGACAGAGCAATATTTGTACCTAGTTCATTTTTATACTTCCGAACATTATTTATGTACATGTACTCATTTTTTTCACTCCAATAGGAAATCAATATATTATGCATGGTTTAACTTTAAATGTGTATAAATATTATGCATAATTCTCATGTCTCCCTGGATAAAATTCAAAATTAACCATGTGGCATGAATACCTGTCAGTTATGTAGTATCAATTTGAGTCAAAACGCATTTTTCAAAAAAAAATTGTACTGGTAGCGTATAGATAATAGTTATCCAGAACTAAGCAAATGTCAGGGTTTTTCGATGCTAATCCCCAGTGTAAATATAATTATAACCTTACTCAAATTTCTTAAAATGAGGGGTGAAGTGTCTGCAAAAAAGGGCCTAGGGTGAAGTGTCTGTGGGGTGAAGTGTCTGTAAGCCGAGGTGATGGACAAGGCAAGACATGTCGATTTTTTGTAGCTTATTATGAAGTTGCAGTACAATGAGAGACTGGCACTACTTGTATATTTTTTATTTAAAAAAGCTGTAAGGTAAGCATCAACAATATGTATACGCTAGATGTAAATAACTCACCTCCAAAAAATATATAAAAAAAATGGGTCAAAAATGTCTTGGTAGGAAATGGTTTGAGGGAGGACATTCAAGGGAAGGAACTGCTAAACTTAAAATTTGATAAGGTCAATTCAGTACCAAAAAGCTTTACCCGATAATGGCCGATTGTGAAGAAAATTTGTAAAAAATAGAGCTTTTAATTGCAACTTGTATATCAACGTTATGAAATATAAACAATGAACATCAGTCATCTTGAATAACGTTGTATTGAAAGTCATATCCGCGGATATGACTCATATCCGGTATTAAGTCAAACTCTTGTATTTTTTGTAAGCAACCAGAATCGCCAACGATTTCGCCACTGATAAATGGATAAATGCAAAACAAGCAAAGTTATTCAACAGTTAGGTAAATGGGAGATAAGGTTTTTGTAATATAAAACTTACAACTCGTTTTAACACGTGGAACTTCTATATAAACTTCTCAATCTTTCACGGATGAACTTGTAAACAATGGCGATTGCGGAAAAATGACGTTAGGGCGAAAATAGTTCGTATTCATACGCATGCATTGTTTTTCTTAAATTTACACTTATGAAGCATTAGGCCCTATAAGCTTTAAAGTTAGCTGATCTGAAATCCGTATTCCATTACTTGCTAAATTTTTGAGTTCTATGACACTTAATTAACTTGTGACTACATGTAATTTGTACTATATTTATGCAAGTACTTTGGCTATGATCGACCGCTGGCGTAGTAATATTAAAATCGCGTAAAGCAAAAATATACATACAATTTTAAAAGACGATTGCTAAATTTAGTACAAAATTGGCCAGTCAATTTTAAAATAGATAGGGAATTTTGGAGTTACTGCGAAGTTTTGGAACTATTTTGCTTAGCGTAGGTAGCTGACTATTTGTGGTCATATCATAGTAAATCTGAATTTGTCGTTATTCCATTGGGGGCGCATTGCGCATGCGCCCCCAAAAAATCAGAATGTACGAAAACGAGGTTTTTTTCGGGGTTGCATGAAACAAAATTTAAGTTTTTCACTACGGTTTCTAGGAAGGTATATTTTTGATACGTTTAACTACGCTATGGACGTCTGTCCATAGACTGGCTTTCAGAAATGTAAAAATTCGATACGTTTTCTTACGCTTTGGCCGTCCTACGGGTACAGTGGATGGCTGTCGAAAGGATATATTTAAAAAAAACTTTTATAGCAAACTAACTAGAGAAAAAATAATCAAATATATAAAATATATAATTCTGAAATATATATGCTATTTCGCGGTATAGATGGATACCGAAAATAAGCTATTTTCGCGGAAATAAGATCGCGGCTACGAAAATAAGATTTATTTTTTAAATAGTGCATTTATCTGTTGAAATAATTATGTTAAATATATATTTATGCATTTATTGAATGATTTTACAGCAAATTAAAATTTCAGAACCAAACAAATATATTTATAAAAAGTGAAGTTTGAGCCGAAAATACTATCGTACGAAAATAGCTCAAATTGCAGTGTAAAGCGAAAATAAGATCAAGTCTACGAAAATAAGATTTATTTTTGATAAAATGTATTGAAAACGCATTTTTGTTGTTATTAAATGATTTGTATGAATGAAATAACAAAGAATGAAGTATTTTGTTATGAAAAATTAGACATTTGTGCGGCATATATGGTATTTTCCCAAATAGTATAGAAAGAAGGCATGCGAAAATAACCCAAGATGGCAATTACTAAGAAAAGATCATTTATTACATGCTTTTCGGTGGTTTATAGAAATATATCAGTGATATAAAACTGGTTATCTCACTGTTTGAAACAGTAAAATTACCATTTTGATAATTTCACTGTTTTAAATTTAAGCCCCTTACGTTGTTTTAGTGAAATACCAGCGTGCACAGTACTGGGTACCAACTTAATGACGTGACGACGTAAATGACGTCACGTTGTATTATTATTTGGCGCGCTTTTCATTCAGTATTAGGTTTAATGTCTTTTTTAAACGTTTCTTTGCATATAATAAAAAAGAAAATTTGTTTAGTTTAGTTTAAGATTGAAATATATTTCACCTTATGAACACAAAAAGTTCATATTTCACTCGTGGCTGCGCCACTCGTGAAATATACCTTTTGGTGCTCACTCGGTGAAATATATTCCGATCTTGCACTGAACTAAACAAATATCCTCTATAACTTATAAAATTGTATTACTTTCAAATAAGAATTGAATTAAATCTTTCTCTTATAAGACAAGAAAAGGTAGTGGTGAAAAAGTATCAAAATAAAAGCAAGAATTAGCTAGTGCGAAAATAAACCAGAAACAACGACTACAAGAATTAAGATCTACTGCATATAGAATATGTACGAAAATTTAAAATCTATACTGTACAGTACTCTACGAAAATAAAATCCGTAAGTATGAAAATTATGTACATACGAAAATAAGACCTGTTAGTAAATAATACCTGTATTGAAAATAATATATGTATGAAAATACTACATGTTACGAAAATAAGGACCCAATTGATGTTCTATACGAAAATAAGATCCGTTATAACAATTAAATCCGTATATATCAATTGATATTAGTACGAAAATAAGATCTAATTGAAAATATGATCTATGCCAAAACATACGAAAATGAGCTTTGTTAAAAAATAATACCTGTATGAAAATACTATAGCATAATGTGCGAAAAATAAGATCTGTAAAAACAATTACTGCACGGAATTGATATATCTGCACGAAAATAAGATCTACTCGTATACGAAAAGATAAGATCTCTGATAAAAATAAAATCTGTATGAAAATTATGTTTTCGACTAAGATTTTTACAAATATTTTTATTATAAGATCTGTGAATATTAAATTTGCAATACGAAAATTTGGAATACGAAAAATAAGATCTATACGAAAATAATTACAAATGTATTAGGTATAATATCTTGTTTCAGAATGATACGAAAAAGAGATCAAAATCTGTAAACAATAAGATATCTATATGAAAATAATATATCAATATGGAAAAATGATTTTTACCAATATTAAAATAATTTGAAAAAACGTGTAGATGCTGATATGAAAATAATATCTTTTTTTAAGGTAAAAGAAAAGTATATTAAGTAAAAGAAATAGAGGATATTTGTTTGTTTGTGTGTAAGATGAAATTTTTATTTCATCGAGTGGGCTTTAAAAACAGTATTCTCACAGTGCGCCGAATACTGTTTTTAAAGTTCACGAGAAAATAATATCACTGTCATTTAATGTTGATTGTCGGACTTATTTTTCAGCTCAAGACTTCTTGTTTTTAATGAGAAATTCGAAATGAGGCTCTCAATGGGGAAACAGATTTTAATATTTATGTTAATATTATGGAAATTTCGTTTAAACTTGTTTTTTAGCATAAAATAAAAAGAAAATTTGTTTGTTTGTTGTGTAAGATGTAATTTTATTTCACATCTGTCAACACTTATTTTTTGTCTGTTACAATCCTCAAATAAGTTTTCTTTCTTTTTATAAAGGTGAATGACTAACAAATCCAAATAATATCCCTCTGAATCTTACACAATTATTTTCCTCCCATGAAATACACAACTTTAAAAAATGGTTGGACTTTTTCTCCTACAAGAATTGTTTGTTTTTATTATTAAAACAAGCGATCATTCATATTTTTTTAATAAAATGAATAAATATCGCCGTCATTTAACCTTGATTGGCGGACTTATTTTTCAGGTCAAGACTTTTTGTTTTTAATGTGAAATTCCGTCTAAATGGGGCTCTCAATGGGGGAAACAAATTTTAATATTAACGTTAAAATTATGGAAAATTCGTTTTAACTTATTTTTAAGCATAAAATAAAAAGAAAATTTGTCTGTTTGTTGTGTAAGATGTAATTTTATTTCATCTCGTGAACTTTAAAAACAGTATTCTCACTCGTGGCTACCCCCCTCGTGACAATACTGTTTTTAAAGCCCACTCGATGAAATAAAATTTCATCTTACACACAAACAAACAAATATCCTCTATATATCAGTGATATAAAACTGGTAATTTCACTGTTTGAAACAGTGAAATTACCACTTTGATAATTTCACTGTTTTGAATTTAAGCCCCTTACGTTGTTTCAGTGAAATACCAGCGTGCACAGTACTGGGTACCAACTTAATGACGTGACGTCGTAAATGACGTCACGTTTGTGTATTATCATTTGGCGCGCTTTTCACTCAGTATTAGGTTAAAATGTCTTTTAAAAACGTTTCTTTGCATGTAATAAAAAGAAAATTTGTTTAGTGTTGTTGCAAAATCGAAATATTATATCACCTTGTGAACACCGTCAAAAGTTCATATTTCACTCGTGGCTGCGCCACTCGTGAAATATAACTTTTGGTGCTCACTCGGTGAAATATATTCCGATCTTACACTGAACTAAACAAATATCCTCTATAACATATACATGCTCAGTGCGTTAAACGTAGCCTGTGTAGGTGTGACGTAAAATATAAAAACAAACAAACTTCAGTGTTGTTAGCACATAGACCGCGGTGCCATTTAAAAAAAAACGATATTATACTAGTAACACTTTGACTTATTTTGCCGCTATATATTAAACATAGCGTTAAAGCGTGCTAATGTTAGGCGTTACACTATAGGTGCGTCATTATTTTCATATGTATTTTTTTGATAGCTGATATCAATACTCATTCTTTCATATATTGCTATCAAATCCACAAAGCAGTCCAAATTGTTCAACACCAGAAAACTACATTTGAACTTACACTTTTTATCATCACAGCTGACTTCAACTGGTATTTCTTCAAAACTCAATAAATTCATGACGCATTGGCTACGAAACGCCTTACCTGATGGAATGATCCAAATATTAAGAACAATTTAAGTGTGAAATAAAAAAAAACAAAAAAACAAACAATAAAAGTGTTTTAAAAACACTGTTCATGTTAAACAGTTCAATAAAAACAATGCAAGCCAAATCAATAAATGTGGAATCAAAAATATGAGAGAAACAACATAAGCAAAGAAAACAATTAAACAGTGTCTACATGAAATAAACTGATGGCAGACAAATTTGAACTATCAACACCAAACACCAGGACCATTTATAGTAGTTGGTGAGCAAACAAATTTATCAAAAGCTTGGGAACAATACGGAGAACGATTTGAAATATGTATCCATGAATTATCTGACACCCATTCGAAGTTAATGTTAAACAATAAAGATGATTTAGTCGACGAAGTAGAAGTAAACAAATTGCGCTCTAAATCAAGAAGACAAGCACAGCCTCGATTTTCGAATCAATCAAGACCACAACAGCACCAACATAACCATCATCAACAAAGGAAGAAATATGACATTAGCACAGCAAAGTGTTACTAACGGATATCGGACATTATGGTAAACAGTGTAAAAAGTCTGTGTTTCTTAGAGAAAGATAATTTTGATGGATATAGTAGTGAGAAAATATACGCCATTTCTGGTAAGAATGCTGCCACTCTCCAAATTGTCCTTGAAAATAAAAAAGTTGATGTTTTCATTGATAGTGAGTATTGGCCCCTTGCCGCCTGGAAAAATTCATTCTCTTGAACCAGCACAAATTAAATAAGGACAAAAGCAAACAACAGAATCTATTTTGTATGAATATAATGATAGATTTCAAGGATTGGGAAGAATTAAAGATTTTAAATTGAAACTTTATATAGATGAATCTGTTAAGCCAGTAGCACAAAATGTCAGAATTCCATATAAAATGAAAAAAAAAGTTGAGATAAAGATAGACGAGTTAGAAAAACATGATATTATTGA